GAGCAGGAGGACTAAACATAGAGGAGCAGGTGGGTTGTGGAGCAGGAGGACTCAGCACAGAGGAGGAGGTGGGCTGTGGAGCAGGAGGGCTCACACATGGAGGAGCACAGAGAGGAGGTGGGCGGTGGAACAAGAGGGCTCACACTTGGAGGAGCATAGAGGAGCAGGTGAGTTGTGGAGCAGGAGGACTTACACATGGAGAAGCACAGAGGAGGAGGTGGGTCATGGAGCAGGAGGACTCATATATGGAGGAGCATAGAGGAGCAGGTGAGTTGTGGAGCAGGAGGACTCACACATGGAGAAGCACAGAGGAGGAGGTGGGTCATGGAGGAAGACTGACACATAGAGGAGCACAGAGGAGCAGGTGGGCTGTGGAGCAGGAGGGCTCACACATGGAGGAGCATAGAGGAGAAGGTGGGTCATGGAGCAGGAAGACTCAGCCCAGAGGAGGAGGTGGGCTGTGGAGCAGGAGGACTTACACATGGAGGAACACAGAGGAGCAGGTGGGCTGTGGAAGAGTTGGACAGGTACCCACATTCATCCTGCACCCTCATGGTCTAGATGAGCTCTCAGCACAGCCCAGGCTGGCCTGCCCCTTCTCTCCTGCCTTCTGCCTTCTCTCTCATGGGTCAGGTGTTCATGTCACTCTCTGTGGCCCCTGCAGCTCTGTGGAGCCAGGTCTGCCTCCTGGGCGTTAGGAGCAAGTGCTAAGCCCTGGTCCCAGACTCCTCTGTCCGGTGTAGCGCCTTGTGGAGCACCATCTGCACTGAAGTACACCCGGTGTGTCTAGCATGCCATGCTCAAAAGCCCTTCCTGGTGCATGTTGGTGAGAAGTGGCATGTAAAGGGACAGACCCACCTGTCCCTGCTTACCAGATGCGGCTGTTGTCTGGTGAAGGGGTTCCCACAAGTGTGTGGCAGGACCCTGGGTCCAGCACTGAGTGTGAGCTGAACCACATACCAGGTGGCATGGCAAGTCACAGCTCCAGAGCTTGGGGAACAGATATCTTTCCTCCAAGAAGTATGGGGCAGACATCCTTCAATATCTTCAGTTACAATAACTTTTTTTCTAAAATTCTTCACATTTTCTGTTGACTTTAAAAACGTTTTTATTAGAGCATTATGATCTATATAGTAGCTGGGTTCATTTTGACAGGATTATACATGCAAGGAATTTCATTTCAATTCCCATTCCTCCCCGCTTTCCTTCCTTCCTCCCTGACCCTAGACTCTCTCCTCTACTGATCTTCCTTTTGCTCCTTTATTTATTTTCATTGGTACTTTTTGTATATACATAAAGGTGAGGTTCCCTTTTATACATTTACATTTGCATATGGCAGGATTTTGTTAAACTCATTCCACATTTCCTCCCCTTTCCGTCCTTCCTCCCTCTTGTCTCCTACTCCACTGATCTTCCTGCATCTTCATGATATCTAATCCCCTCCCCAACCACCCTTCCTTTATTTTGCTCCAGTTGTCACACTTGAAAGAAAAGAGTTGACCCTTGATTTTTCTGATTCTGGCTTATTTCACTTGGCATGATTTTCTCCATTTCCCCTTTTACAGGTAAATGCCATTATTTCATTCTTCTTTATGGCTGAGTTCAACTCTGTTGTCTATATATCTTGATCATCTTCACCTATTGACAGACATCTGGGTTGCTTCCATAACTTGGATATTGTGAACTGTTCTGCTGTAAACATTAAAGTGCCTATGTCACTATAGTAAGCTGATTTTGGTTTTTTGAGATAAATACCAAGGAGTGGATAGCTGGGTCATATGGTGGTTCCATTCCTAGCTTTTTGAGCAATCTCCATACTGCTTTCCAGACTGGTTGCACTAATTTGCAGTTCCACCAACAATGTTATCAGTGCACCCTTTCCCCAATATCCTGAACAGCATTTAATATTTTTCATATTCTTGATAATTGCCATTCTGACTGGAATGGAGATGAAATCTTAGTGTAGTCTTTTTGTTGTTGCTGTTTTGTGGTACCAGGGATTGAACCCAGGGGCACTTAACCACTGAGCCACATCCCCAGCCCTTTCTATATTTTATTTAGAGACAGGGTCTCTCTAAGTTGCTTAGAGCCTCGCTAAGTTGCTGAGGCTGCTTTGAACTCGTGATCTTCCTGCCTCAGCCTCCCCAGCCACTGGGGTTATAGGTGTATAACCTATAACAGTGTATACCCCAGCTCAGTGTAGTTTTTTGATTTGCATTTCCCCAGTTGCTAGAGATATTGAACATTTTTCATGTATTTGTTGCCCATTTATGTTTCTTCTTTTTAAAAATTTCTGTTTAGTTCCTTTGCCCATTAATTTATTGTATGATTTTTTTTTAGCATTCAGTTTTTGAGTTCTTCATATATTCTGGATGTTAATTGCCTATTTGAGGAGCAGGTGGCAAAGGTCTCATATTCTGTAGGCTCTCTCTTCATTGCTCTTAAACATATCCTTGGCCCTACAGAGTCTTTTTAATTTGCTGGCAAACCACTTACTGATTCTTGGTTTTATTTCTTGAGCTGTAGGGTCTTGTGAAAGAAGTGGTGCCTGCACCTGTATGATGGAATGTCAGCTGTTTTCTTCTAGCAGGTGTAGTTTCTGGTCTAACTCCTAAGTCTTTGATCCATTTTGATTTAACTTTTGTGCCAGGTGAAAAATGGGAATCTAAATTTCATGATAGAGTTCCAGTTTTCCCAGCATCATTTGTTAAAAAGACTATCTTTTTTTCAACATATTTTTTGGACCCCTTTGTCAAGTATTGGATGGCTGTATGTTGATTTGTCTCTTGTCTTCTATTCTATTGGTCTTTTTGTCTGTTTTGATGCCAATATAATAACAGTTTTTATGTATCAGTTAAAATAATAGTTTAAGCAAAAATAATAGGAAATTCAGGGCAGGAAATATAAAACAAAAGGAGGGGGCCTCTACATTGGAAGGGTGGTGGGGGGCAGGGCAAAAAGCCACAGGGCTGGCGATGCTCCAGTGAGACAGCTGGGAAGATGGTCAGGAGCTGAGGGCAGTTTCTGGTACTGAGACAGTTCTTTTCCTTCAGCATGGACTTCCTCTCTGGCCTCCTGTGACCCTGTACTAGGAAGGGTGGAGCATGCTTACATGCTTGCCTCCACACACAGGTATGCCCACACACATACCCACAGGCAGCTACTCATGTATGCATTAACACACACATTCACAAAGCTATCTCTAATGCATGCATGTGCACACATACGGATACACAGGCATGTGCACAGCACAGTGTACACAGACAGTAAAGCAAGCATGTGCATGCTCGTCAGAATATGCATGCATGCCTGCAGCTATGTGCAGGCACTCACACTTAGGCACCAGCTGTACTTCAAGTTCTTTCCTCCCTCATTGTGCTGTGCCCTGAAAGTCGGTACACCCTCAGATCCCTGTGCTGAGTGCCTCCCTGCCAGAGGATGGTGCTAGGAGCTGGCTTTGGATGGTGCTTGAATCAAGAGCCTCTTCAGTGGGACTAACAGGACCCTAGGGAGCTCTTTCTTTCCTTTTTCCCTGTGAGGACATAAGAGGCTCCTCACCAGAAGCTTGAGGGCAAGGACATGGGACCTTGGCACCAGCTGGGGGTGGAGGATGAAGCCTGGAGGTGCGGAGCAGCCGCAGCCTGGCTCTTGGTGGCCATCTTCTTCCCTACCCCCACTCCTGCTTTGCAGGCTTTGCTCAGGAGTTTTCCTCTAGCAGCCTGAGCAGCCCCCCATGCCCAGTTCTAGACCCCTGCCCACCCACCCTTCTCTGGCTCCAGCAGCTCAGCAAAGGTGTAGTATGGACCACATGGGACCTGCCTTGGCATCTGCCCTAGGTCCCCATGTCTTCAGGTGCAGCCTGCAGGAAGAGCCCAGTCACCTTCTTCAGAACCAGGTTGAGGGGGTTCTGCTCCTTGGGGAAGGGCCAGGACTCCCACCAGGTGACCTTTCTGGCTCCTGTTGGGTACCTTGCTGCCAGGTAAAATTCATCCTTTCCCTGTGGAGTGGGGGTGGGGGCTGCACAGTGTCCATTATACCTTTGTCCCTGAGTTTGGGGGAGGGTGGTGGGCAGGGTTCTCCTGGGCTATGAGGCAGGGGGTGCTGTTGGCATGCATCCTGCCTCTGGGAGAGGTCCTCAGCCCTGGGCAGACTGGGTTCTTATACCACCCTCACTCCCACTGAAACAGGCAACTTGACAGCCAGGTTGAACACTGTAGGGAAGGATAAAAGGTGGGCTGGGTCACAGGTGTGGTCAGGGCAGGGTAGATATGACCCAGGGACCTGTGCCTAGCTCCTGGCTACCCTGTTCCACTGCCAGGACCCCAGAAGTTCAGGTGGTGAGCAACCCAGTGGTCCTGGGCTCCTTGGGGTGGTACTAGGTCCACTTGAGGTGGTGTTGGGTCCACTTGAGGTGGTCCTGGTCCACTTGGGGTAGTGCTGGTCCACTTGAGGTGGTGCTGGGTCTACTTGAGGTAGTCCTGGGCCCCTTGAGATGTTTCTGGGTCCCATCGTGGCACTCCTATGTACCCCGGGGGGTAATCCTGTGTCCCCTGGGGATGGTGCTAGGTCTACTTGTGGTGGTCTTTGTCCCCTAGGGGTGGTACTAGGTCTATTGAGTATCCTGGGTCCCCATCAAGGTGGTAATGGGTCTCTCTGGTGCTCAGTGCTAAGTTTCATTCAGGGTTGACCACTTGACTCCTGGAGTTGTCCTGCTGCCCAGCTCCTTCCCCCCTGGACTCTAGACACTGTTCTGAGGAGGGACTAGGCCAGCTGTGCCAACCCTGAGTCCACATCATTGCTGGAGGACACAGGCATATTCCTGCCCCTGGCTGTGCCCCTGGCCACCTGCCCTTTGCCTCCTGGGGGCCGAGGTGGAAACTGAATCCGGAACAGTGACACCAGGCCTATTTTGGAGCTGGGCTGGGCTGGCCTCTCCATGGTGGGGGCGGGGTAGGGCGGGCCCAGTCTGCTCCAGCTGACTGCGTTTGCCTGTCCTTTCGTCCCTGTCCAGTCTGAGGGCCAGCTGGAGTGTGGGCTGCTGGGTGGGAACCACGTCGGTCCTGGGCCCTAGGAAGGAGGCAAGACCCGGCAGCCCCTGACGCACCACCTGTACCCTCCGCCTGGCGCCACCCCGAGTTCCCGTAGAGACAGGTGAGGAGAGCTGTGGTGAGGGCAGCCGCCATCCTTGGCTCCTGAGTGGAGGTCGCAGTTCTGTGTAACTGTGACTTCAGGGGTTTAGCTGGGCCAAGTCCCTCCTGAGCAGGGAGCAGAGGATTCCAGTCCCCAGTCCTCTGGTAACTCAGTGCCAGGCCCTCACAGCGGGAGAAGCAGCCTGTCCCGCTGGAGCTGGGAGGTCTGGGGTCGGCAGGGTGCACCCACTGCCCCTCTGGGCTGTCTGTCCCCCAGAGCTGCCTGGGGG